AAAGTTTGATCACATTTTGTAAAAATAATTGCCGTTAATACTAACAAAAATATTCTAAAGTTAATTATCAAAAAACTAGCCTTTGAGAAAATGCGCAAAATGTGTAATATTCTTCTGATATCCATAACAACAGATACACTGGAAAATATTTTTTAGTCCGGCCAATACGATTTCTTGTTGTAGCATGCAACAGACGAATTTTTAATTTGTACATATTTGCGCAATTGTGCATTGTTGTGTAATGCAACAGACGAATTTTTAATTTGTACATATTTGCGCAATTCATTGTTGTGTAATGCAACAGACGAATTTTTAATTTGTACATATTTGCGCATTGGAAATCCTCCTTATGCACAAATATGGGAAAAGCAGATTTATTTAATCACCTTTCTCCGTGTACTAGAAATTAAAATTTTTCTTTTCTTTAGCTCTTCAATTATAATTGAAAACATATAATATTTCAATCTGAAATTAACTTTAGCTTGACGTGAATAAGAAAAAGAGTTTAATATATTTGTGTTGTTTTGTTCTTAATTACATGCAATTAAACTGCTGAGCAAGATGCACCTGTGTCAGTGTCCTGTACAGATATAAGAGAGTTACAGTGATCGATTAACACCTATAATATACGATATTTTCCACAGCATGTTCAATTGTGTACAAGGACTGTACACGACCAATCAGGAGAGATCTGTATTCAGGGATATTTAAGGATCCTTTGAATAGGAAATGCAAAATCTTTAAAAATAGACCATATTCATAAACATTATGTTTTATGTTTAAAATTGGAGTATTTCTTTAAAAGTTGTAACACTTAACCACTGAATGCAACAAGTGGCGGTGAGATGTCAGTCAAAAAACATTACATGGAACCGTAGCATGCCGTGCCGGGACAGCCTATCTAGGTAGAGTGTATGAGCAGTCTGTGTAGTCTGTGGGCCTGTACTTAACCATTAACATCAATTTTCTTGTCAATGCATTACGCAGTACAAGGGTATTATATCATCCTTAGGTATTCAAAAAAAAATTCTAAACAAATATTTAGACTTTTAAGAAATTTGTGTAGACCGTCAATATAGCAGGGAGTCTAGGAACAGCTCCGGGAGCAGTTCAGATCGTAAGAACGGCTACCATAATGTGGACTCAAAGATCAGCTCCAGTAGTAAAAGAAGCAGCTGAAGACACAATAAGAGCATCCCAGATTGTAGGAGCAGCCAGGATATTAGATATTTACAGAACAGCTGAACAAGATAGAGTTATAGAGGAAGCTGCTCAGACAGATCCTAAACTGTAGCAGCTGAATATCTGAAGGAACTTATGAAAATATGAATAAACGTTACAGATGTATTTAGTAAATAAACTACGATACTGATCAATCCCAATTCATTTATACTCTGAGAGATATGTATAATCAGAGCTGAAAACTTTAGAATGGTGGATATCGAGAACAAGGCTTGATCTCCACTTTTTTTAATCTCCAGATTATATAAGGCTTGTTTTCCTCTTGTTATTAATCTTCAGATCAATTAATCTATCGGGATTAAGGATATATCATTCTAAAGTTGTCAGCTCAGGTTATAAAAGGGATCGATACTAAAACGAGAGTATGGGACATGGAGTGAAATATTTGCCTAAACCTTAAACCATGGATGCAATTAATTGATCTCGAAAATCTCTAGGATTTACATCTGGATTCTGCCAGTGCCATGTATTTGATAGAAGACAATAATCATAACAAAAGGAAGCCTTTATTTGATAGATTTTGTTAATGCCAGAAATGAGTGGAAAATTGCAATCAAACTCAACTAAACCCCATATTTGATATACATCATAAAGGGGGTTGTATAATGGTCTAGGGGGGTAAAATTACGCACGCACAAATGGTAAAATTTACCCTTTTAGGAAATCCTGTTGTTTGAAACTTGAAAACCAGGTTTTTAATTTAAGATTTACATGATTTATGATTTTGAGAATTTGCAAGTTTGCCAAAATATATGTATTTATGCAACATTATGAAACATTTTTGATACCATAAACAATTATTATTATTATTATGTTTTATTAATATCTTTTATAATCATTTACAACTACTTTACGGGGAAGTTAAGGGAATTTTACTTTACCAAGGGTTCCCAAGACCAATTTTGCCTACCAAACATCCAGAGCGCAAGGAGAGATATTTTTTATGCAAAATTAGTAGAGAGAACCCGTGGTTTAGTAAATTTTTTAATTTCCCGAAAAAGTAGTTGTAAATAATTTCATCGTCTTTTGAGATGAAAATGCGCAAATTTTTTCCAAAAACTTTGCAGATTGGTTGGTTGTTTTACATAACTGTCCCAAGGGACGTTAAATAACTTAACCTCCCTCTGTTGGGGGAATCAGAGGTCGGTAGATTTGATAGGAAAAAAAATTGAAAATTTGGGTAAATATTTTTTTAAAACTTGTAAAACATCAGAAATAAAACAGTGTAAAAACATAATGAATCTTAAACATAAATAAACTATTATAAACAATTTAATGACAAACATTATAATAAATAAACATGTATATTGTATATTGTAGATTTGTATAATAAATACAATTTATAACAATAAAATCAGTTTATATTAGACTAACTTAAACGAAAAGTATTTTACAGCTTTTATCTTTTTTTGTTAATTTATGTATATAGAAGGTATGTATAATGTATATATTATATATATATATAATCATAAATAAATATTCAGGTTTTCACAATAGCTGTAACTTCTGACAAACCGTTTTGTTGAAAAGTGACCTAAAGCCTAGTATTGAAAAATAGATAGATAAACATGATAAGATTGCCTTAGTTCTGTTCCGTGTTAAACAAATATTATTTTATTTCGATTAAACAATCTTTTTAACTAAACAATGACACATAAAACTTGTATTGAAAGGTTTGATCGAACCCTAGGATCTTATTTTAGATAAAATCAGTCTTAAAGGGATTGTAGATCTAATTTCAAGTGACCTTTCATTAAATGAGGGACATGCATTTTTCCATTGAGAGGAGGGGGGGGGGGATTGAATGTTTAATTCCTCTTCTAAAAGACCAGATTGAAAAAGCAAAAAGGTGCTTAAACTCTTTATAGTTGCTCACAAATTATTTCGGGGCGTCCCCCGACCCCCACTCCCCCCCTCTAGGTTCCTAAGCCATCTATGCTTTAAAACCTTTAATTCTGATAATTTCCTTCATTGTTTTTGTAGCAGAAATCCACAAGTCACTTTGATAGAAAAGCCACAATTTAAACAAATCTATTTTCAAAGTCAAAAACATAGATATCACATGTATTCTTAATAACAAATTTAGCTTTTAAGGAAACTGTGATGAATCAGACATGTCCCTCTATAAATGGAGGGTCACTTAAAATTATACCTGCAGTTCCTTTAAAAACCATTTGAATACAGTAATAACCAAAAAACTTTGAAATAGGAAGACGACTTTTAGAATCAAGTTATATCTTTGAAAAGTTCAATGAGCATAGAATACAGCAATTGTGCAGTGTAAACAATCCCAATTTACTAAATTAGTGATTTTATAATTGTCTGGTATAAGTATCTGTTTTGTAACATCAAATACACTTTAGTATTACTATAATGTCGTATTCCTATTCCATTGTTCTTTGGTTATCACTGTATCAGATATTCCACTAAAATTCAATGTTGGGTTAGTTTATTTTACGTTTGCAGATCTTTGAACAACATTTTAGAAATTGAAGGAATGTCTGTAATTTGCTAATATTTAATTTTAACATAAAGTTTAGTATAATTTTGACGTATGAATGTTTCTGTCTGTAGATCAGAAACTGAGGATTAAAGGTTTCTAGTTTAGTAGTTCCTGAAAATATATTCAATAGTTAGAATGGAATATCAAGTATAATGCATTGGTCAGCATATATATATATATCAATATAGTGCCGGTTACTGAAATTTAGCAAATTTCATATTCATTGGTATACGTACCGACCCTTCTTTACTATGTAGCTGTTCAGTACCGAATACTGTATTAATTATATATGTCAGCCTCGTTTTTATTAAACGGTTTTGTATTGATATATTAATATATTAAATAAATCTTTTTTCGGTGTGTCTTTATCTATGTATCTGTCTATTTGTCTCTCTATCTATATATCTGTCAGCCAGTCAGTATGTCTGTCTGTCTGTCTTGATTTTGAAAATTTAAAATGTTTGAGTAAGAAATATTAAAGGAATTGTTGATCTTTCGACCCTACATTGTAATATAGCTCCATGTCTGATTCATTATGGTACCCTTTAAACCTTTATCTGAGCAACAATGTGGAAGATATAGTCGTTTTTCTGTCTTTGATATGAGATCACACCGAATAAGAAACTGATTAATTTTCAGAAAAAAGTAAATATATCTTTATCAAAGGTTTAAAGGGTACTATTGTGTATCGCCGACAGTCCCTTTAAGGTTTAACTGCTCTTTTAAATATCTCTTTTTACAGTTCTTATTGAGCCAAATGTCGTCTTCATCATTAAGTATAAAAATCCCCCAAATCATTTACTTGTATTGCCCCAACTAGATTATGTAAATATATGTGCTCATTATGTTTACAGATATAAATGTGTATCAACCACCAACGTGTCCTAAGCTTAAAGGGACTGTAATCTCAATGTCAAGTGACCCTCCAAGCAAAGATGGCAGTGTCGGATTGAAATCTTGAAATAAATGTGGAATATGTTTTTTTTTTTCATATTTTTAAGCGCTTAATTCTGATAATACATACATTTATTTCTGCGGTAGACATGGGCAAATTATTTGTGTAGAGAAACCACAAATGAAAATAATCAGTTTTCAAAGTTATAAACATTGGTCTCGAACTCACACAGGCAAAGCTTCTAAGGTTATTCTGCCGATATTTTGAGAAAATTAACCTGGGCCGGCACTGCAACTGTTGTTGGATTCATTGTAATGTTGTTGAACAATAAACTGTTGTTGTCTATGTTGTTGTTTTTTAAACTGTTTAGAGGTTGGCCCAAGAATACAGAATCATCTCCTTCCAGCATACTTCTGTCCTGCAGAACAGTACAGTTAAGTACTGTATGGTAAAGTACTGTACAGTAGTACTGTACAATAAAGTAATGTACAATACATTATAGTACTGTACAGTGCATAATAGTACTGCACAGTACATTATAGGCACAGTACATTATAGTCACAGTAAATTATAGTACAGTGCAGTACATTACAGTACAGTACTGCACGTAGTGCAGTGCAGTGCTGTACATTACTGTGCATTACAGTACAGTACTTTGCAGTACAGTGCAGCACAATACAGTACTGTACAGTAAATTTTAGTACAGTGCAGTGCATTAAAGTACATTACAGTACGGGACATTACAGTAAAGTAAAGTAAAAATAACTTTAACAGTAAAAAAATTGATTTTAAAAGTTGTAATCAGGAGAAAACTTACAAATGCCACGTCTTCATCCGAGGAGGAGTCATTTTCCGCCAAAATCACTCCCTTAAATTAGATTAGATTAGAATACATTAGATTATATTAGATTATATTAGATTAGATTAGATTAGATTATATTATATTAGATTAGATTAGATTAGATTAGATTAGATTAGATTAGATTNCTTAAATCTGAACCAAATTACGCAAATTTAATAGGAATATAATCGGGTTAGAAGAAGACGATCTTTTAGATTTATTTCCTTTAATAAGTAAGCATATACGACAAGGTCATTTGTAATTACGCTTACAGTCCCTTTAAACTGTCTAACATCATTTGCAATCAGTCCAATCTTCCGTCCCTCCCTCTGTGATCATGTTTGATTGTGTCTAAACAGCTGTTTGGTTAGGGAGCCATTCGGTCAGCACCTCTTGCTGTTTAACTATTCAATATAGGGAGAAAGCCATTCGGTCAGCACCTCCCACTGTTTATCTATTCAATATAGGGAGCAAGTCATTCGGTCAGCACCTCTTGTTGTTTATCACTTCAATACAGGGAGCAAGCTATTCTATCAGCACCTCCTACTGTTTATCTATTCAATAAACGGAGCAAGATATTCTACCAGTGCCTCCTACTGTTTATCTATTCAATACAGGGAGCAAGCTATTCTACCAGTGCCTCCTACTGTTTATCTATTCAATACAGGGAGCAAGCTATTCTACCAGCATCTCCTACTGTTTATCTATTCAATATAGGGAGCAAGCTATTCTACCAGTGACTCCTACTGTTTATCTATTCAATACAGGGAGCAAGCTATTCTACCAGTGCCTCCTGCTGTTTATCTATTCAATATAGGGAGCAAGCTATTCTACCAGTGACTCCTACTGTTTATCTCTTCAATACAGGGAGCAAGCTATTCTACCAGTGCCTCCTGCTGTTTATCTCTTCAATATAGGGAGCAAACTATTCTACCAGTGCCTCCTGCTGTTTATCTCTTCAATACAGGGAGCAAGCTATTCTACCAGCTCCTCCTCTTACTGTTTATCTCTACAATATAGGGAGCAAGCTATTCTACCAGGGCCTCCTCTTGCTGTTTATCTCTTCAATGTAAGGAGCAAGCTGTTCTACAAGCTCCTCCTCTTGCGGTTTATCTATTCAAAGCAGGGGGCGAGCTCTTTCCTTGCTGGCTGCCCGGAACTAACTGCCTCCCGTAAACGATCTTATTGTTTAAAATGTTCAATATTCTAAATCTGTCAAGGAATTCACATAAAGTTATTTAATTCAGGTGTTGTAAATTTAATTGGGAGTTCACACTATACGCTAGTGCACACTCCGGATTTACAGGATTTTGAACGATATTTGGTGATAAAAAACAGGGAGTCTCTGTCCTCAATGAACAGTCAAAGGTTAAAAGAGTTCTGTTGAAAATTGGGTTTTTCCCTCTTACAAGGAGAGTCAGTTGAAGTTTTAATCTTAAAATATTTTTTTAATTTTTACGGTTTTTAAAAAAAAATATGATACAATTTTTTTTCTTTTGAAACCAAAACAAAACAATGCTTTGTTACAAAAGACCCAATGACTCATGATGTAAAAATTCAATTATCAAAAATTTACTTTTAAATTAGTAAGTAAATTTTTGTTTAAGAAAAGTCATAGTTTTTACCTGGCTTCACTTTTTTTCCATATATAAAACAAGATTACTGCCAGGAAACCGATGAAAAAAACTGCTAAGAAAATAACACTTTCGGCATCTCCTTAAAATAAGGAAAGTTTTTAAATGAACTGGCAAAGTAATTCAAAATGAGTATAATGGAATATACATTAATAGATTATTTTATAGACAGGACATAGATTTATCATCATTCAGATAGTACACCTTAGATAGGACATTTTATAGATAAAACATCATATAGACAAGACATCTTATAGATAGGATATCATATAGATAAGACATTTACAGATTAGACATCTTATAGATAGGATATTATATAGATAAGACATTTACAGATTAGACATCATATAGATAGGACATCATAGATAAAACATCATATAGATAAGACATCATATAGATAAGACATCATATAGACAAGACATCTTATAGATAGGATATCATATAGATATGACATTTACAGATTAGACATCATATAGATAGGACATCATAGATAAAACATCATATAGATAAGACATCATATAGATAGGACATCATATAGATAGGACATCATATAGATAGGATACCTTAAAGATAGAAAATCTTGTATGATAAGCCATATTTTATTTATGAAAATTTACAGATAGTACATTTTTCATTTACGAAATTTTACAGGGAATTTCACAGAGATAACATTTTACAGGGCAGTTCATAGAGATAACATTTTACAGGGCAGTTCACAGAGATAACATTTTACAGGGCAGTTCATAGAGATAACATTTTACAGGGCAGTTCA